CATGATTGTAGAACAATTGGTGGGCGATTGGTGTGTTGTATTGTCCGAGGGGGTGTCGCTTTTAGAGGCCCATGCTACGGTGGCCGAAGGGTGGCGTGTTCCAGTGGCCCTGCGGTAGCTGCGACTATCTGGACGCGCGCGCGTAGAAGTTGGTCAAAGGTCCTCATGTCAGCGAGCCTGCACAATCGCATGACGTTGAGGTATCGGGCACTGAAAGGCGGAGCCGGCTATCCGCCACACTATAAAACAACTCAGGCGCAAGGTCCCATTCTGCTGCAAGCCATGAGTGGACATCGTCGTTCCGGACGGTGGATGTGACACACAGACGAGGTATCACACGTGCAAGGGGGAGCACTGATCATTTGAGCCCATCATCAATTAAACTGCGCCTGCACGAGATGTGCCATCAGCCGCGTGAAGAGTTGGTTGAGTTGCAAAGGTCATGTGCCATCATACGGTCCGGAGGTGAAAGTCGGATACAAATGTGAAGGATGCTGTGCTGTAAAACATGTAGGCGATACAGATCAATGAATTTCGTGTCCATCGGCATCGCGCTTAAAGGAAAAGCGGGCATTAGTCAAACAGTTGTTTGCCATTGTTAGGATGACCGAGCACGTCATCCAGACAGAGAGACATCCCAAGGTCACGCCGGACAAAGGCGCGTGAATAGGTCAGTCCGGCGCATACAGAACGGGTCAAGTCACGCGACCTTCAAAGGGTGGACATTAGGCCAGGACAAAGGAGGCACGCGCGAGCGAGACTGCTCCGGGGCTGAGTTGCTGCTATCAGTGAGGTCACGCTGGGGACAGATATACAGGCGCGCGTAAGCAAGCGTTTGCACGGCCACACATGGAGAGCCAACGGGGAGCAATGATTACTACACCTTTAATAGCGAGGCGGTTGTTGGAGACGCTGCCATCGATCCGACACTCGGTTGCCCTAGACGAGAGACTGCTGCCGAGACGAGACCAACCACAGAAGACAAGCTGCTGGACACACAGGAAACAGAGCTGATGTACTAGTACCACTGACAGTAAAGTACTAGCTGTTATCCTGTTCTGCTTTCTCTTCCTAACACGTAACTGGGGGACATAACCGGTGTTGACACTGGAACACACACGGTTATAACAGTGACAACGCAGGTGAGATCAACCAAGGACATAGCCGGTGTTGACACAGTAACACACCAGGTTACAACAGCCATGAAGCCCATACCGAGATTCTCGGGATTTCTTCGTATCAGTTCAATTTTAGGGACCGTTATACCAACTCGGTTGGCAAATTTTACGTGTATAATCCCTACCCCGAAGGGATAACGATGCCTTTCACATTAATCAAAGTCTGACCTTTCAACCGGATCAAATGACAAAAGTGCTAGTAGTGGACACACCGACCGCGTTACAGGGCCTTGGTGCTCAGTCTTGAGCCCCGCTGAGACCAGATGTAACGCAGGGGGTTAAGTAATTCAAACCCTAGCAACTGCGATCTTCAGACCATGATTACTTAGTAGAGAAGAAGTCTTGGGAAGGCCAGAGTGTTAGGAAGT